TACAAACTTTAAAACACGAAGATTATTTTACATTATCTGGATGAGCCCAATCTAATACATGAGCACTGAAAAGCAAAGCACTTTCTCCAGATGGAAGTAAGAGATGCCACAGAAGAAGTCAGAGAGATCCTAAGAATGAGATGGATTTGATGCATCTGAGATGTAGGGGCCCAAGGATACAAAAGAGGCCTCTGGAGAGTAAAGCAACCCTCTGATGAGAGTCAGCAGGAAACCGAGACTTCAGGCCTCTAACGGCAAGGCACTAGATTCTACCAACATGTACGCTGAAGGGGACTCTTCCCAAAGCCTCCAATGACAGCCCAGCCCCCTGACACAGATTTCAGCCTTGTGAAACCTAGAGAAACGAGGTGAGCCAATGTGGACTTCTGACCTACAGAGCTATGAGACAATATGTTGGTGTGTTTTAAGCCACTGAATCTGGTAATCTTTTACAGCAGCAATAGGAAACTAATACAACACACCAGGACACAAACGCCAGATTATAAATACCTTAGGCCAGAAGCATATTCTTGCTTTGCCTTGCCTCACCTCCAACCCAATATTGGAGGAGACAGATTCAGTCTAGAGAGGATAGAAGTCAGGTGGAGAAACTGCAGACACCAACCTCAATCCTCAACCACAACCTCTACCGAAGACTAAGGGGACCTGGCCTGAAAGGGAGAAAGGGAGCAGCTTTCTTTGAAAATTAAGTTATTTATAATAAACCAGGGTTTTTATTATCTTAAAGTAAACAGAAAGCTCTGATACCTGCCTGGCATTTGCATCCAGAGGCAAGAAAGATTAACACCAAGGAGGCTGATTTGAAGAGGCAATGGCTGGAATAAACAGCCCCTTTCAGTTTGTTCCTACCATGTTCAACTCATTCAAAAAACCAGTAATACCTATGAACAGTCAGTTCAAGTCCAAGCACTGAAATCTGACTTTCAAAAATCAGAGTTGTGTATGCAAATTCATGCAACCACTTCACATATCTAAATCCACAAAGAAATCAACTGGGCTTTCAGGTAAAAAATCCACTTTTACCAAAAGACAACTGGGAGGAAAATAGCCCTGAAAAAGTAGTATAACTAAAAATTCATCACTGATTTTTAAAAAGCACATTTTTAAAACACTATTACCCAGAGACCAAGTAAATTAATTTCCTAAATAAAAGTCCATTGAGTAGAAATGTTAAAATATTACAGTATACTTCATATTCATTAAATAATCAATTAGTACAATCTTTCAGAGGGACTGTCTGGAGGAGGGAAAAGAGGTTCTTCAAAGTTTTTACTTCATGGAAAAATTATTGAAATACCTCTGATAATGTTAAATAAGATTTAAAAAGTTGTACAACGGTAAAACAAAGAAATCTAGATGCAAATTTTAAATGGTATGAAGCCTGTGTAGGTGCAAATACCAAAGCTTAAAATGGCAGATTGAATGCTGCTTCCTCGAAATAATTCTTGTTAATAGAAATACAAGGTAGGTGTGCAAGCCAAAAATCAAACCCAAACTAAATGAACCATCCTCCACAAAACATAGAAACAGTTTTAAATTTGTCAAAAATATTGTACACTGAAAAGCCTGATAAATATCACTAATCTATTTTCTGCAGCCTCAGAACTATCAACACGTTTTGAAGTCTGACTTTCAAAAATCAAAGTTGTGTATACAAATTCACGCAACACTTCAAATATCTAAATCCACAAAGAAATCAACTGGGCTTTCAGGTATAAAATCCACTTTCACCAAAAGACAACTGGGAGGGAAAAAGCCCTGAAAAAGTAGTATAACTAAAAATTCCCTACAGATTACTGTGTTATGATCAAGGAATCAGAAAGCAAAGGAAAGAAACTACTCCTCTTTTTTTTTAAAGACCTTAGCTATGACAAAGTCACTCACTCATTAGCAAATTGGACAGCTCTGAGAAAGCAACAAATTTCATTTTACTTCTGCTGAGTGGAGTTTGATTGCAAAAGATCTTCTGCCAACAGAGAAACCTATTTAAGATTTAACAAGTGATCTGGCCCAGTTATTAAATATGTATTCTGTAAACACTTCAAAATGTCAATATCCATCTGCCCTGTACATATTAAAATTGATAATCTTACCCTTCTCCTGGCTAAGAGTAACAGAAAAATACTTCTAAAGTGATACTGTTAAGATCAGAATATCATAAAGTATCAATAAGTATCAATACTTTCTAGATAGTTGTACTTTTAATAGCTTGTGGTGATAAAATGTGTCCTGGTAAACATCTAACATCAAGAGCTATACTTATTACTCACATGACACCAGCAATTCTGATCAAAAAGAAAATATTTTTCTTAACAAGAAAGTCATAAGTGAACCACAAAAGTACCTTTCCAGAATCTCAGATAACTTAGAAGGGTGGTTCCACATATAATACATGGGTGAAGGGGCGGAGAGAGCACATGACTATCTAAAGGCAATATTGAAGAGAACTACTTTTAAACAACCTTAATAGAGGCAAGGGCTAGCAAAAAAAGGTTACAAGTTTTCTTCATTTTGGGCTGAAATGATATCAACCATAGTTACAAAGAGTTAATAAGGAGTTATACATGTATGGTTAATTGAAACCAAAGTCAACACTTCATCAAGAGCTGATGTAACAGGTAGGAATCTCCCAAGCCAAGGGTGCCTGCAAATAAAACATATGCTTAGTGATGAGAAGTTAAAAATCACAAAGACTAATTCAAAATCCCATGAAGACACAAACTAGGCATTCTTTCTTATTGACACTCCATGTGTGATACAAGACACAAATACTTTGTTGATGAATAGAATAAGGCAGTAATAATGGCAAATATTTTGATGATTCCAGCTGAACAATGAAAAGACCAGCTCTTAACGTTCTCAAACTTCAAGCACATCTTACACTCTAAAGTAAACAGGCAAATGCAATAATTTCCCTAGAAACTAAATAAGGCTATCAAAACCAATAGGTGAAAGAGTACACAAAATAGATAATGACTGAAATAATATCCAACTACTCAAAATGGAATATAAAATCCTTTCATATTCTGCCCCAAATTTTTCCAACATCTCCCAGGTTCTGCTGTGAGCTATTAGTACCCTGGCTCTCTCTGTCTTTGCTTCTGTTCCACATCTCAAAATAATAATGCTCTTTCCTTCTGCTTACTCAAAACCTAACTGAAGACATTCTTCTAAGTCCATCCTCTCTGCTAAATTTCCCTAAGCTACTACATATATACTATATCCCTAAGCTACTATAATATCCTTTCTGTTTGGTTTCCCCTGATACTAATGAGGTATCTCAAAAAGTAATTCTTCCTACTCCAAACTTACAAAGAACTTAATCATTAAATACCACCTTCTGTCATTTCTCACACATTTAATCTTTCGAATTTTTGTTTTGAACCCTAAGAGAGAAGCAGCTTGAGGGTAGAACTATATATGTAAATAATCTATCTGGATGGAATTAGCATTAATTTTGTGGTATATGGCTTGAATATACTTAACATACATGAGTTTTTGGTCAAATGAGTTCAGCCAGCTTAAAAGCCAAGAGCTGAACCTCAACTATTATTATTTTGAACTAACTGAAGAAGGCCAAACAATGCTATGTGCCTCTGCCCCAAAATGAGTGTTCAGGTCTACAGAGATGACTGTTACAGGACTATATAAATTTGGTTATCCTGAGAAGTAAGAAAGGAATCAAAGAAGTAAAAAAAAAAAAACAAAAAAACACATGTAACAATGAAATATACAGCAGAACATTGTTACCACCATTCTGAATACAAAGAAATCCAGACATATCACTTAATCTATGAGACAAAATTTAGTGTATATGGTTTCCTTTATTCTGCATATTTTTTAAAATGCAACATTTTTCTTCAGGTTCTTGTCTTTGTAATCCTAAAGTTCTCTATGCCCAAAGTTCCATTTTAAATGACATCAGAAATCACCCTATGGAACACAAGTTCCAAACATATGTAGTGTTCCATTAACATTAGCAAAAGCTAAGGCTTTTCAAAAATGAACACATGGGACTACATCAAGCTAAAAAGCTCTATACAGCAAAGGAAACCATAAGCAGAACAAAAAGGCATCCTACAGAATGAGAGACTATATTTGTAAATGACATATCCAACAAGGGGTTAACATCCAAAATACATAAAGAACTCACATGCCTCAATAATCAAATAGAAAATAACCCGATTAAAAAATGGGCAGAGGATATGAAGAGACAATTCTCCAAGGAAGAAATTCAGATGGCCAACCAAGCACATGAAAAGATGCTCCACATCACTAATTACCAGAGAAATGCAAATTAAAAGCACAATGATATATCACCTCACACCAGTTAGGATGACCAGCATTGAAAAGAACAAGAACAACAAATGCTGGCAAGGATGTGGAGGAAGGGGAACCCTCCTACACTGCTGGTGGGAATGTAAGCTAGTTCAACCTTTGTGGAAAGCAATATGGAGTTTCCTCAAAAAACTAAAAGTAGAAATACCATTTGACCTGGGAATTCCACTATAGGAATTTATTCAAAGAATACAGGTTCTCAGATTCAAAAAGACATATGCACCCCTATGTTTATTGCAGCACTATTTATGATAGCCAAGATATGGAAGCAACCTAAGTGTCCATCAGTAGATGAATGGATAAAGAAGATGTGGTACATATACACAATGGAATACTATTCAGCCATAAGAAAGAAACAAATCTTACCATTTGCAACAACATGGATGGAGCTGGAGGATATTATGCTCAGTGAAATAAGCCAGGTGGAGAAAGACAAATGCCAAATGATTTCCCTCATTTGTGGAGTATAACAACGAAGCAAAACTGAAGGAACAAAATAGCAGCACACTCAGAGACTCCAAGAAGGGACTAGCAATTACTAGAGGGCAAGGGTGGGGGAGAGAGGGAAAAAAGAAAAAAAGAAAAGAAAAAAAGCCAAGGATTTTACTTCAAATGTTTAATGAAGAATCAAAAATTCTTACCATCATCTTTTCAAAAAGTTCTAAGACTTCACTCTCTGACGGTGGCTTCAAAATGCTTTCCATCATCTCTGAAAAGCAATCATTGCTCACAAATGCAGTCTTCAGGTTGGAAACTGGAGGTCTCTCTTTCTTGCTCCCTGGAATTCTTATGCTGGCAAATTTGTCCAGCTACAGAGAAAGATAGAAGACTACATATATAAGCATTTCCTTCTCCAACATTTAACTAATACCAAAAGTGAAAAACCAAACAGGGTCAACAACACTGTCACTGTGATTTCATCAGGAAGCACTCAGCCCTAGAATCTTTAAACTTGTTTAAAGTATATACAAAATAAATGAAAAGTTTCAGTAAACATCCTATCGAAAGGCAGAAAATCACATAACCACAAAAGATTTCTCCTAACCTTAAAATTATAAAATTGAGATTCTAATAACAGGTGATCTTTGGTTTACAGATTAGCAAACTAATAAGCAGTTTTACAAAGATAACTGAGCTAATTTAGTGGTTGGCAATCAAACCAGAATCCAGTGTCCTGACTCCCAGCCTCTTTAACCACTTCCCTTTTCATTGTGCATACTATACTCTGTGAGAGACCAACAGCGTGAGTGGGTGTGGGAAGGGGGTGTATGGGGGGGGGTTGGCGGCACATGATTTAGGAATTTTAAGAATAAATTCTATCTCTATCTCCATAGTCTGTTAACCTGAAAAATACAAAACTTCTCTTTATATCAGGTTGATCTGAATTTGAATTCATGAGCAACTATAGAGTAGGGTGTCTAAGGAAATAAAGTTGGATTTTGTTTGTTTCTTCTACAACCAGATCCTCAAATACTTTGCTGATATTTTTAAATGTATAGGTATTAGTTTACAAAGCTAACCAATCATTCATTAAAAACTACTTGAATTTTTACAAGTTCTGTACTTCACAGAGAACCCATATTCATACAATGTTTGAAGTGGTAATAATCAAAAAGGAAAAAAGTCTTAAAGTAGGTATTAAGAATAGAAGTGTACTTAAAAAGTACAATGATTTCAGGAATTGTTCAGCTGTGAATATTATTAAAAACTACTGTTTTTATATATATACATACATATATATATACACCCACATTAGTACATATATACATATATAATATATAGACCTGTACTACTCATTATAGTAACCACTAGCCATGTGTGGTTATATAAATGCAAATTAGGTTAAATGTTCAGTTCCTTAGTTGTAGTAGCCACACACACATCAAGTGCTTAAGGGCCACATGTGCTAGCAGCTTTCCTATTTCTCAAAGTACATATATAATATTTCTATCATCACAGAATGCTCTACTGTACAGAGCAAGTATATAGTCCATTTAAGAAATATGACACTTAAAATTCTCAGTTTAAGAGGACAGTAATCATAGTATTGATTACTCACTTCACTAAATAGGATTTCTTAAAATAATGAGACGTGAAAGTAATAATGATTATCTTTAAAAATAGATCTATAAATTCACTGTGAAGATAATACCTAGGAAAGATACTATGTACCAAATGGTCTAACATGACCTAAATGTTAAAGTACCAAAAACAGGACAGCTTCCAGTGGGATTTAGAAAGTAGTCATGATTAAAAATGTTGATGTGAAAGGTGAGACAGAAACTTCCTCCCCAAATCATATAATATGAAAATATAGCAAATATATATAATCATGAAAGAACAACAGAAAAGAACACTGTGACAGAAGTACAGAATATGATACCTAATATATAAAGAATGGAGAGGGAAGAAAAAGGAGGAAAAAAGAAAAAACACCCTTTAGATAGTGTTTGTAATAGCATACTAAGTGAGTTAAGCTAGACAGTTAAGATAGTAAGGAAGTTACCCTTGAACCTTTGGGAACTAAAATCCTAAAGCCTGCAATGGCAGTAAGTACATACCTATCAATAATCACCCTAAATACACCAATCAAAAGACAGAGTGTAACTGAATGGATAAAAAACAAGACCCATCTATATGCTGCCTACAAGAGACTCACTTCAAACACAAAGACATACACAGACTAAAAGTGAAGGGATGGAAAAAGATATTTCATGCAACTAATAGGGAGAAAAAAGCAGGTGTTACAGTATTTGTATCAGACAAAATAGACTTTAAATCAAAGAAAGTCACACGAGAGATAAAGAAGGACATTACATACTGATAAAGGGGTCGGTCCAAAAAGAGGATATAACCATTATAAATATATATGCACCCAATACAGGAGCACCTACATATGTGAAACAAATACTAACAGAATTAAAGGGGAGCATACAATGTAATGCATTCAATTTAGAAGACTTTAACACACCACTCACTCCAAAGGACAGATCAAGAGAGGCACTGAACAACACATTAGAACAGATGGACCTAACAGACATTTACAGAACATGCCACCCAAAAGGAGCAGGATACACATTCTTCTCAAGCGCACATGGAACATTTTCAAAAACAGATCATATACTAGGCCACAAAAAGAGCCTCGGTAAATTTCAGAAAGATTGAAATTGTACCAGCTAGCTTCTCAGCCCATAAAGGTATACAACTAGAAATAAAAAATGCAAAGAAAACAAAAAAGCCCCGAAACACATGGAGGCTTCACAACATGCTCCTAAATAATCAATATATCAATAACCTAATAAAAACAGAGATCAAGCAATGTACGAAGACACATGAAAACAATAAACACCACAAAAATCTGTGGGACACAACCAAGGCCGTGCTAAGAGGAAAGTATATTGCAATACAGGTCTACCTCAGGAAAGAAGAATATTGCCATAAGAACAGTGTAAACTCACAGTTAATGAAACTAGAAAAAGAAGAACAAATGAGGCCCAAAGTCAGTAGAAGGAGAGATACAATAAAGATCAGAGCAGAAATAAATAAAATGGAGAAGAATAAAACAATAGGAAGAATCAATGAAAGCAGGAGCTGGTTCATTGAGAAAATCAACAAAATAGACAAACCCCTAACCAGACTAATCAAGAAAAAAAGAGAGTCTACATACATAAACAGAATCAGAAATGAGGAAGGAAAAATCACTATGGACACCACAGAAATACAAAGAGTTATTAGAGAGCACTATGAAAAATTATATGCTAATAAACTGCACAACCTAACAGAAATGGACAACTTTCTAGAAAAATACAACCTTCTAAGATTGACCCAAGAAGAAACAGAAAATCTGAACAGACCAATTACCAGCAACGAAATTGAACTGGCAATAAAAAAATTACCTAAGAACAAAACTCCTGAACCAGATGGCTTCACCACTGAATTTCATCAAACACTTAGTAAAGACCTAACACCCATCCTCCTTAAAGTTTTCCAAAAAATAGAAGAGAGAATACTTCCAAACTCATTCTATGAAGCCAGCATCACTAATACCCAAACCAGGCAAAGACACCATAAAAAAGGAAAATTACAGATCAATGTCCCTGATGAACATAGATGCAAAAATCATCAACAAAATATTAGCAAACCACATTCAAAAATACATCAAAAAGATCATCCATCATGGTCAAGTTTATTCCAAGGATGCAAGGAAGGTACAATATTCAAAACCCCATCAACATCATCCACCACATCAACAAAAAGAAGGACAAAAACCACATGATATCCACAGATGTTGAACATGCACTTGACAAAATTCAACATCCATTCATGATAAAAATTCTCAACAAAATGGGTATAGAGGGTAAGTACCTCAACATACTAAAGGCCATATACAACAAACCCACAGCCAGCATAGTACTTAACAGCAAGAAGCTGAATTATCAGTAGATGAATGGATAAAGATGTGGTACATATACTCAATGGAATACTATTCAGCCATGAGAAGAAAACAAGTCCTACCATTTGCAACAATATGGATGGAGCTTGAGGGTATTATGCTCAGTGAAATAAGCCAGGTGGAGAAAGACAAGTACCAAGTGATTTTACTCATTTGTGGAGTATAACAACAAAACTGAAGGTACAAAACAGCAGAAGACCCACAAAACCCAAGAAGGAACTAGCATTTACCAATGGGGAGGGGTTGGGGAGGGTGGGTAGGGAGGGAAGGTGAAGGAGAATGAGGGGTATTATGATTGATACACATGGTGTGGGGGTGGGTCACAGGGAAGACAGTGTAGCACAGAGAAGACAAGTAATTGCTCTGTGGAATCTTACTACATTGATGGACAGTGACTACAGTGGGGTATGGGGGGGGACTAGGTAATACAGGTGAATGTAGTAACCACTATGTTTTTCATGTGAAATTTTCATAACAATTTATATCAATGATACCTTAATAAAAAATAAACTAAGAAAAAGAAAGTAGTCACAAAACACTACTGCTCTCATCATAAGAACCAAAACAAAGCAGAAAGCCTATTAGTTGTTGTTTTTAACCCATCAGGAAGTTGAAGACACAGTGAAACCTGTAAGAACTATCAGAAGTGATGTGCTTCTCTTACTCCAGACCAACAGTTAGGGAGTAAGTTGAACAAGGGTAACAAAAACCAGACAAACTTTTGATGAACTACTGAGAGGTACATGGGTGCTGCCATGAGAGAGAGAGAGAGATTAGAATTTTAAGGAGACCCAGTTATGAAGCCCCAGGCATACTACCAACTCTTTCCCTCAATTTCTTACCAATGTAGGGGGAAGTAAGCCAATGGCTGGGGCTAAGGCAGGATGGCAGGGAGATGTCCCCTGAGGTCCCACCCCATGTAAAACAATGCCCTCCAAAGGCTCTGAACAAGACAAAAGGCCTGAGAGAAATCCTCATGGTGCATTCTGGGACTTCAGAGTACCTAACAGTGGCCATCTCAAGGCTAGAGGCAGACACCATGTCAGAGAAAGATTTCCTGAAGAAACAGACCCAGAGGTGAAACTGAAACCAAAAATCTCTACCTTAACCATAAAAAGGCATCAGTACTCTAAAGCAGAATTACCCCAGTTTTGAAAGCTAGTTAAGTTGTAACATCAAAAAATAGATTGCCAGGGTCTCATTAGTAATCAGAAACATTAGAAGCTATGAATTAGCTAAATCAAATTAAGGCAGCACCTTTGCCAAACCCAGGAGAGATCACACTGACTCAGCACAGATTCTAGCAGCCTTAAGAAGGGCATGTGCTTTCTTGGAAGCAAGATTTATGTTAGTTTC